TATGTATATATATATATATATATATATATGTAGGCTGTAACCTAGGCTAGGATTTAAGTAAGAAAGCAACATCAATGCAACCACTCTTGTCCAATATCTCAGCCCAATCCTGAAATGCAACACTGACACGGGCAGTTTATAACTTTGAACATCCAGGCTAGGATGTGCCGAAGGAGACATTTGCTCGTGTACAGTATTCAGTCATAATGGAAAGTCAGAATCTTAAGCTCCCTACTCTTGCTTACATAAGAAAACGAGCTGATGTCATTCAAATTTTTAAGATCTTTTAAAGGAATAGATAATTTAAAGTATCTTGACTTCTTTGAATTGAAATCCAGAACCAGAGGTAACTGCCTGAAAATTAGAAAGCAACAAGTTAATTCCAGATTAAGACAGCTTTCCTTCTCTATAAGAGCAATCAACGACTGGAACAATTTGCCAGATAAAGCCTCAATCGCACTGGATTAAATTTTGGGAATATGTAACCGTCATCACGGTAAACATTTCTAGGGTAAATGTTACCGTCAATCGCACTTGGACTTTTCAACTTGGTTAGTTTTCCCGAGTAGTGTAAAATTTACTATTGAGGGCGGTACATTTTGACCCGTAACATGACCCGTACTGACATGACCTACAGCCTTCTGATCCCTTGATCTGTTTCACGCGCTGATTTGCACATACTTTCTAGCTAGTTCTTACTAAAATCGTTGGAAAAAGAAAATGGCTGAAAAAAGCAAACAAACGAAGAAAAAAGTTAATTTAACCGACTTGTGGATGTTTGCATTGGATTTTCCAGGCCTGTCAAAATAGCTCGGTAGGAATTCCTAAGTAAATTTCACTCCCGAAAACTAACCGGTGGCGACAGTCAAGTTAACCGAGCAGGACTATCCGCACTGGATTTTTTCGGTCGAACTTACCGACAAGACGGTTACTTTTACTGAAATAAATCCAGTGCGATTGAGGCTTAAGATTGTAAATGCATCCACCGTAAACGAATTTAAGACAGAGATTGAGAAACACTCGTCAAATCAACCCCTGAAGTTTAATCCCTATCAGAGGAAATGGGAAGGAGTACCTAAGCGGAGCATACTGTATAAGCTTTAGCTTCAAGCCCAACAACAAAAATAAAAACAAAAAGCAAAAGCTGGTTTCTACCCCTTCGTTATATCAACACAATTGATAGATCAAAACTGGCTCCACCGCGAGTCTTTTGTGAGGAGGAAACTCCACCAATGCCAACTGAGGAAGGAGTGGTGTCTGCTGACGCAGATGCAGAAGCAATATCGCTGCTGCAGGAGGGCCAAACTGTATTAAATGAGAACCACAACATCTTCAGCCGACCTGGCTCTATCGACAGTATTAATGCTTGGGACTATGGAGTCTTCATTGGGAGCCGAGAGGAAAAACTTTAAATTTATCAACAAAGGTACGCTAACGGCTATGACTGAGATGACCAACAGTACAGTACACGGTGTGAAGTCTTTGACAACAGAATTGGCATTGAGTCCTTCTGCTTCACAAATCGGACCAAGTTTCCCTTGTTTAGAGAGCATACTGTATCAGGTTTCCAAAACGACTTAGAAAATTGTCGACCAATGAGTTGAAATATAGGGAAATGCCGAAGGCATTATCTGGAATACGATTCATTGCGGGATGAAAAAGCGGCAGAAGAGGAGGCAAAACAAAGACGAAAGGAAGAATGCAAGATGAAAAAAAAAATGGCTTCTGCCCAGTCAACAACAAAACAAATAAATACCAACATTTAAGGCAACAAATGTCGAAAAAGAGTATGACGATTCCAACCTATGGGTATGTTGTGAGTGTGGACGTTGGTTAAACTGCACATCAAATTGCTGTAGTATTGGCGAAGTTGAAAAGATGATGGAAGAGGAAATCGACAGCTTTAGATTGGCAATACAGTGTCTGCAATTGATTTTTGGCTGGCCTATCATTTTGCGGTATTAAAAAAAAAATGAATAAAAAACAAAAAGTGTGGGTGTACAACCTGTGTAAAGGTGCTTAAGGAGCACTGAAACAAGAATGCCGATAGTTGAAAAATGATGGGCTTCTTAACTCACAAGTGACTATGAAAGAATTTTAGGTTTAGGGAAAAAATATCAGACCGAAAATGCACGTAAAAACAATTTAAAAGCTTTCGTTTTATTGGTAATTTGTTGTTGTTGTTGTTGTTGTTGTTGTTATTATCATTATCGTTATTATTATTATTATTTATATTATTATAATACAACATCTCGTTCACTTGAGTAGGATTACTTGGAGACATTAAAACATAGAAAAAGGTTGAACCATTTAATAAATTTGGCTCAACAAAAGCAACATTTCAGTTTAACTTGTAGAGTAATTTGATAATAATTTTGTTGATCAATTCTTAATCCATTTTTTGCTTTCATCTCCTTAGCCTGGGAATGCTGGTTGTGGAGCTCTATTGGAAACATGCACCAAAGACTTGTAACAACTTTGTTGAACTTTCAAGAAAAGGCTACTACAATGGCATCTCATTTCACAGAATTATCAAAAATTTCATGGTCCAAGGAGGAGACCCTACAGGAACAGGTGATATTTTATTTATGTTTCATATTTCAAATAAATGTACATTTCACTAAATTTAATATTATTTGTTAATTTGTTACAAATTAGGTCTGCTGCGTACTGAAAACGCATATTTTATATACAAATGATGCTCAAATATTAAGTAAAATATGGTGATATCATATTAAACCATCTCTTCAATAAAAAGTGAAGATAAAGAAGAATCACTTTGGAAGTATATGATACAATACTTCCATGTTGACTGTTAAGTTTAAAGGTTATTCATTTATACCACGCAAAATACAAGGATGTCTATGCGCAAAACAGCTGATGTAATTGGAAAATAAACAAGAAAAGAGAAACTTCAAGCCAGCAGCCAAACAGCAATATGGTGGATACACCCTCGTCGCTAAGCAGGGATCTGTCAAAATGTACCATCTCTAGCACCAGTTGAGTCTCCTGGTAGAACTAGAAAATGCAAGCTGGCAAGGTTATGACTTCTACCATACAGTAGGCCTACTCATCCACCTACAAGTAAATCTCAAGTTTCAGGGAGAACTAAGTAGAAAGAAAGTTGAATTGTTTTAGCTTGAGAAAATAGTTGTGTTATTTTTGCAGGAATTGAACTGTAAGACTGAAAGGAGAACATCATACTTTTTTCACCATATAAAGGAAATGATTGATTAATCAAGCTATAACCCCTACTCCAGGCTAAAGCTACATTGGATATCTGCTACAGGTGTGAAAGGCCAAAGTTTGTACTAGAAAAGTATGAAATGTATGGAAGCCAGTTGATGCCACCAGTGAAATAAATTTAAAAGCCGTTAAGTGGCGGCCACCATATAATTATCTGGTGGCCGCCACTTATTATCTGGCAGTCGCCACATAATTATCTGGCAGCTGCCTCATAATTATCTGGCGGCAAATGCATGAGAGTGTTGCGTGTTGTTTTCGTTTTCATGAATGTGCCGAAAACATATCTTTTTTTTTTAATTAAAGGTCGAGAAGGTGCTTCCATATATGGTCAATATTTTGCGTTTGCCACTTAACGGCTCTTAAATTTTAATTCACTGGTGGTACTAACAGGCTTCCGTAAAATGCATCAGAGTGTTGCAAGTTGTTTTTGTTTTCATGAATGTACCGAAAACATTTTTTTTTTTTTTTAAATTACAGGTCGAGGAGGTGCTTCCATATATGGTCAATATTTTGAGGATGAAATTCATCCAGAGTTGAAGCATACTGGTGCTGGTATTCTTTCAATGGCAAATAGCGGACCAAATACGAACGGAAGCCAATTTTTCATTACCCTTGCACCGACGCAGTGGCTGGACGGCAAGCATGCAATTTTTGGGCGACTCTCCAAAGGCCTTGCGATTTTGAAGCGAATGGGCATGGTGGAAACGGACGGCAACGACAGGCCTCGGGAAAATGTAAAAATAATGGTAGCATATCCAGTAATGGATGCTGATAGTTGAACACGTCTACTGTATCAAGATGAATTTGGAACAATCAACGCTAAGTGGGATCTGTACAACCGGTTTGCGCGTGGAAAAGTGGATTGTGGGTTCGTATCCTCATATGGACATATCCAATTCCATCGCAATATTGATCTCAAATCTCTAGTGATCAATATGCAGAGTACAGTACATAATGTATAGGCTTGTTTTACATGTTGTAGGACTCGGGTTATTTTTTTAGGACCCTTATTTTCTACAGTTGCTTATCCAATGAATTATTGTATGGATAGCACTTTCGCATTTTGGTTGCAGTAGAAATATTACATACTATATTACTATAACCAATAAAAATAGATATTTTTTTTATGCATTACTGACACACAGTGCAGTGAAGTTTTACCCCTGAGGGATGTTGACCTAAATAGTGCCACCATTAAATCTGTTATTGTTAACAGGGTTCTCCCCAGGATTTTTTTAAGCTGTAATGGCAAATGCGTAACTCAAAGTTTTACGGTGCTTAACGCGTCGGTTACGCATACATTGCTTAACGCGTCGGTTACGCCTTGATGATGGTTGTGCAAGGCTTGTCCACCCATGTTGTCTGGCCAATAACGCTCTTTCTGGGACGACGTTGATGTGTCTTGCATAGTTTGCAAACCATACCTGCATATTTGTAATATTTTAATAACAATATAACAATTTAAATAACTGTCAAAATGAAGGTGTATCGGTAATTTAAGCTGTGTCGGTAAATTTTATTTCTGTAGTAAGGTGTAACGGCTCCGATACAGCTAAATGCCCTGGGGAGAACCCTGGTTAAGTATAATGTAGCTTCATGAAAATTTGAAAAATTGTTATTAGACAGATCAGTGTTTCAAACCCTCGCTGTACATTTTACTTGCGTGCTTGAGCAAGGCACTTCATGTATGTTGCTTCAGAGCTGAAAATTAACCTCTAAACCCAAGTAGCCAGCAGGGCCACTGAAAAATACATGCCACTGGCCCTGGTCAAAATCAAGTCGTCCTGACTTCTTTCGGCACAACAAATTACAAAATCAAGTACTGTACAAACATAAACTTTATGTACCTTTATTCTCGTATGCAGTCTGGGACTGAATTTTACCTCTGCTGTATGGCATTGTAGCTCTAAACAATCTGCTTAACATGGTAAACAATTATCATGATCTACTGTATACAACACTACAACAGAGTAATAATATACAAAATAGCGTGATTGATAAACACTTATTTACACATACTTTTATGTGACAATATGTACTTACCGGTATTTTTAAAATTTTAATAATTGATGAATGTATATTAAAAAACTGAGTCAATTCATCGATGAAGGAACCTTTTAGGCTAGGGATGATCGCCACTGCCGCCAGGCAATTTCGACAGTACATCATCTTAGTTTCGGCGCTGGGCGTTTCTGGCTTTTTGTACTTCAGCCACGGCAGACCGTGGTGCCATTTCGTTAGAAATTTCCTATTTCTTGATTCGTTCTCGTACCTTCGTTGTGTAGCCAGAGTTTCTTCATTTGTTTTGTTTTGTTTTTTTTTTTGGTTGGTGGGATCTCCTCATTCCAGGACCTTGACAGTCCAAATGAATGTTTCGGCCTTTTTGCACACGCGAACGGAAATAGCGCACCGCGGATGAAAAGTTTCAAGTTTGTGTCGCGTCATTATTCATCGCCTAGCTTACGTCGCTGTAAGGGCATGCGCAAATGCCGATTAAGAAAACAACAACAGGACTGAGCATTGTGTGTGGAGAGAGCGAAGGAAACTATCAAGCGGGGAGCAATTATAGTATAGGCCTAGTAGTAGTAACAACAACCGCAGTGTGCTGTCGGAGTCCCTCCAGAACTCAGGGCCTAGGCCTAGAGCGTAATCGCAAATGAAGCCATAATAGAAGGCCTTAGTAAGATTATTTTAAGAAGAATTCGTGAAAATGGTAGGCAGTAAAAGAGAAAAAAAAAATACAACAAAACACATTCTCAGAATCCATAGTATAACTTTATTGTTGAAATCAATTTTTTTGGTGATTTTTTTCTCGTCGCCAAACGGGGCGATATTTCCAAAAATTTCTGTCGGCCTGAGCAATTATTAGTCGCCACTGGCGATCGGACGACCGTTAATTTCTAGCCCTGTTGTTTCAGTCTACCCAGCTGTATTAATGGGTACCAGCAAACTGCTGGGAGCAGCCTGAACTGCACTAGCGTCCCAGACAGGGAGAACATTACACTCTCTCCTCCGCTTCACTCCACAGAAACAGGGCACAAGCTCCAGCCTTAATGGCTCAGCAAGGCTGGCTGCCATAAAATGTGAAAACCATTAAGAGAGCAGCTGCTTTGTAGAGATCCATTCTAAATGGTCCACTCAGCAGCTGCAACTTAGTCAATGTATTAAAATAAAAACATGTTCCCAGTTACAGTGTAACTGTATTTAGTTTACTTACTCCCACCTACTGTAGGTATGGCATTATCGCAATTGTCTTACCTGCTCCTTACTTCACGAGAAAGAAAATTTAACTATAATATTGCAATAAATACTTAAAAAGTAACTTGCTCTAATATTGAATGCAAGCAAATAGTCATGCATAATATTAACTACAAATGGGATTTACAAAAACTTTGTCACCAGCCAAATCATGACCAAGCAATGAGGAAATGCCCTCCACTTGTATAGTATGTCTAGCACCGACTGTTACTAATCTACAGATTTATTCGGACTATTATTTAGAATACATTCTTTACAAATGTAATTTCACATAATTTAGCGAATTCCTAGTCAACATTTCTAGATGCGCCAGCGATCAAGTAAATGCTCCTTATCTCCAGTAAACTCAACAGAAGTGGTATTAGCAGCTTTATTTAAATTTCTAAAATTTTACCTGTTTGCTTTAGTTATAAGCTTTTAGAATTGCCCCTTTCACTATATCGTAATCAAAGTGACGAGGCTGAAAATATAATCTCATGCCTTTCCCACCAGGGCATTTTGTAAATCATAAGAGCAAAACATGTTTAGGCCACTTAAGGCTGCCCGCAATCTTCATGAAATACAGAAATTAATTTATCTACCTGTCCTCACGAAATGCAGGCACTAGTTCAATATACTTAGTGGCATCAGATTTACTCATTTCAGATGGTGGCCCTTTCTGCATATCCATCTCTTTTTTAATCTTCTGCTCTCTCTCCTTTCTCGCTCCAACTTTATCTGTCTTTCATCTTTCTCTCGCATTCCACCTCTTTCTTCTTCAACTAAAGTGTTGGCTATAAATCTCTCAACATGTTCTCGCTGACACTAAATGCATCAGTTGGACTATCTTGATTAACTCTATCAGTTTCTAAGGCTAAAGCATCGACCATATTTTGCTACTAAATTCTTAATTTCTCGTTTCTTCATATCTACTCTTACTTTCACTGTAAGGATTTTAGCTATCAGCAAACAAATCGTTTTTTTCTTAATTCATTAAAGTCATCTACAGAAGGGTTTCCCATGCATTAATCAATGTCATGTTGACCGATGCCATATTACAACCTGTGTTACTTAAAAATGATAGATATGTGTTGATTGAAAATTAAATCAGCATAATACAATTATAACTTAACGTTATTGTCTTGGCAAAGGTCAGTCAGTCAGTCATTTCTATTCCTCTTCTATTTCAGTCCTGCTATGACTTGTTCCTGGTCTTATTCCTGGTTTGTATCTTGACTAAATCAGTTCTGATTCCTTTTTGTCCTGGTCTTAACCTGGTACCTTGACTTTACTGCTCCCTCTATCGTCCCCATATCACAATTCTTCTCTTTGCCCTTTAGTAGGCTTTATTTTGAAATGTTTTCTAACTAACATATCAATTCCTTGCGTTCCTTTTCTTATCCTTTTCCCCCAGTTGGTTTCAATTAACTTCTATAGTTATGTACAGCAGTTCTCTTCTCCTCTACAGTTAAATTTAAGGCAGTTGAAGTCGATCACCTGGTCTTTTTTTCTAGCGATTTCTCTGGTCACTGTCGAGTTGGATTTTCTTTATTGTTTTTCAGACAAGCTCACAAATTTCTGTCTGCAATATAGAACAAAGTATTGCCATCTCAGTCCTCTTTTGTGTTTAAATCATTGCACCCTACCACTATAAAGACGGGATATGACTAAAAGCTGTCTCTCCATGGAAGTCCACACAGCTATCATCCATGAATTTCGCAGAGTGGATTGACTCATCTTGTCTTACCGACTCTCTCTTTACCCAGAAACAATACTAAATATTCCCTGGAATATTTTACATAATTTGTAAGATTTTGTTTTTATTGTAATTTCAGTAAGATGTTCAAGCAAAAAAAATGGTCATCAAGAACATATTTTGAGGATTACAAAAGCATTTAGTTTACGTATTAATTGCAATGCAATTGACACATCTTGTTTTGCCAACTCCCTCTTTACCCAGAAACAATACTAAATATTCCCAGGAATACTTTACATAATTTGTAAGATTTTGTTTTTAATTGTAAGTTCAATAAGAAGTTCAAGGAAAAGAAATGGTCATCGAGAACATCTTTTGAGGATTACAAAAGCATTTAGTTTACGTATTCATTAATTGCAATGCAATTGACACAAATTGTCTTTCCCACATCTTCTTTTCCGAGGACAATACTGTACTGAATATTTACAACTTGTTTTGCTAAATCTTTCCTTAACTCTTTCACTGCTGCAGGTAAATGCACCCCCTGTGCTGGGCCTTTTTTTTTTTTTGAGGGAAAAAGGTGATTTTGAAATAATGCCAAAAAATACTAAAAGAGGTGATTTTGACATTCTTTTTGAGTGTTGGGGTGGAAAAGAGGCTGGCCTATGTGGTGAAGATTAAAAATTTTCACAATTAGGTGGTGGCGTTCATCTTGAATTTTCCTTTTTTTTTTATAAATTCTGTAAAATACTTACTTTTTCTTCAAGAAATTCATATGGGATGTTGTTTTTTTCATGTGATAATGAAGATACATAAAATGAACAAAAACATCGCTCTAAAATATGTTTTTTGTAACAAGAAGTCATTTACAGTATACCCCATATAAGTCAGTTTGTAAATAATTGTAACAACAATGATTGTCTTTCATGAAATAAAACTGCTTGACAGCAAAAAAAATCACCTGTATCATCGACAGA